TATAGTGAGTTTGAAGCCAGCCTAGGGCATATAGTAAGACCCCCGTCTCCAAGAAATCCAGAGTGAAGGCTGAAGAGAAGGATGTCTCCACAGCGGCTCTGAAGGCCTGACCTTGAGGAAGTCACCTGACTTCTCCAAGAATTGGTTTACAGTGTCGAAGCAGTATGGACCTCGTACCTCTAACCGTTACTCAGGCTAGCCATGCACTCAGAGGCTGGAGCAAACAATTTGCCTGGGTCACTTCACCCAGTGTTCACGGAAATCTCTGCGAGAAAAGTGGGGGAAAACCCACTTTTCACCTGTGTTCAGCAGGAGCAGAAGTGAGCGGACACAAATTTACTGAGATGACAATAATGTTGCTAACACGCAGACTGGACTCTGCCTCTAGGCACTGCCTCGCACAGAACTCTCCCCACACTCCAGCTCTCTCTTCACTTACTTTCAGGGCTGGAACAAACTCTAGAGCCCCAGGCGTGCTTATCAAGCCTTCCAGCACTAACCTGCCCCTTTTCCTCTCCATTTGTTTGCTGCAAGGCCTCCAGAAGGCTCTCACACTGGTACTGAACTCACTCTGTAGCCCAAGGCAGGCACTGAGTTTCCAGATTCTCCTACCTCAGTCCTCCACAGTAGCTGGGAGGAAAGACCAGTCCCACCTCCTAAAACTCCACCTAGCTGATGATAACATTCCAGCTATGGATCCCGAACCAGGCCTCCCAGGACTGGTTCCCTGCCTACCTCCAACGGTTACCAAGTGGCTGTAGAACCCCTGAAGACAATCCATTTCCTCATCTGTCTTTTAACATTATTTTTGGGAGACAGGATCTCACAGAGCTCAGATTTGTCTTTACCTCACTGCACCCACTGATAATCCAGGCACTGAGACTCCAGTCCTGTGCTACCACATGGGTCTATGCAGTCAGAATCTGTCCCCAAGAACCCCTGAAAGCTGGGAAAGCACTCTACCAATAGGGCATCCCCAGATAGCCCTTCCTCACCCTTCTTTTGAGACAAGCCTCCTGTAACACAGGCTAGCCTTGAACTCCCTTTTCTTCTGCCTTCAACTCCCAAGCAGGAGAATTACAGGCCCGTTACCACCACACCTAAGTCCCTTCTTTTCTTTGACCTTAAAGCCCCAGCTCTATAATGGGACTGACAGCACCCACTTCCTAGTTTTTAGTGAGAGAATGTGGTGAACACGCCTGACAGATCTGGGCGTGAACTATGCATTGTAGGCTTCAGAAGTGTTTGCAGTTGTTAAAGAAGGTGGCTTTGGGACTCACCTGCCCGTCGATCCTGCCTGCGGTCCTCTGACAACACATACCGTTGTGTACTAGCGGTCGAAGCCTGCGGCTGTGAAGAGGCGGCTGCCGGGGACTCCTCAGCCCCAGCGCCTGCCCCGGGCCCCGCCACACCCGGCCCCAGGATGGCGAAAATAGTCTCCTCCTCCGCGGAGAAGGCGTCCTCGGCGGCGGGCCCCGCGCCCTGTGTGGAATGCGGCACGCGGGCCAGCTTCTCCTTGGTGCGGCGCTTGAAGTCGTTCCAACGCTTCTGAACCTCCTGGCCGGTACGCTTCCAGCTGGTGATACCGTTGATCTTGGTGGCGATGCTGTCCCACACTCGCCGCCGCTCGGCCACGCTCACCCGACGGCTCTGCGCGCCGTAGAGCTGAGGGTAGTGGGCGCGCACCTCCCGGATCAGGATCTGGTTCTCCTCGAAGGAGAAGCGTGGCTTGCGGAGCCGGGTGGTCTCCTCCGCTTCGCCCGGCGCCGGCGCCGCGGTCGCCGAGGCCATGGCGTCCCCAGACGCCACCGATCGGCTGCCTGGCGCATGGGGGGCGCCGGCTCTGCGGGCAAAGGGTGAACAGCGCTGGCGGTGGCTCGGTGTCCCCGTGTCGCCCCGACACGGGCTCCTCTGGTCCCCTGTGCAAAAGTGGTGATGGGAGCGGCGAGGTGCTGAGTGCAATCAGAGGTGCTTCCTCGTAGGTGACACCCGCCCAGTGCCCATCTTGTGCTTCACGCGGCCGCTGAGTGCCTCGCGGAGGAGTTGATGGGTACTGGGAGGACGGACAGTCTGGAAGGATGGAGGGAAATGAGCAAAAGTAGAAGGGAAAAGGGTGCCACCGCAGGAGTTAGAGGAGAACGGGGGCGCAGAACAGGACAGGGCAAGAGTATCGGGGATGCCCAGGGGGTCGAACATGCATGATGCTGGGAAGTGATGCCAACTGGGCAATGCAGCAGACAGGGGGCATCCAGATCAGAGGGGAACGTTGGGGGGCTCCCAGGGCAGTGGGTGTCTGTTCTAGGGTCCCTGAGAGAGGATGTCCAGGAATAAAGGTGAAACGGAACCCTCCAGTTAAGACGGTAAAATATTAACGCTGAGGGTCTGCAGGGATTATGGGGATGCTGGGATTGCCGGGAATGGAGAGTTGTGGAGATAACGGGGGTCCGAGATAAGAGGGGGGACCCCCGAGGCTTTTGGGGACTCCAGGAAGAGTGATGGAGCACAGAGGATGGGGACCCCAGTTGGGCCGCGGGTCACACTCACCGGCGCCGCCGCAGCCCCTGCCTGCCGGTGGGTCAGGGCTTCGGCTTCTGCGGCCTCTTCCCTCCCCCCTACCTCTCCCTCCCCCTCTGGGCCCCGCCCCCAGTAGCATGGAGAGCCAAGGCGCATGCGTGCCGGGCGAACGCGGTCTCCAGACACCCTGACAGCCAGAACTGCGCTCTCCGAGCCCTGCCCCTCAGCACAGCGCAAGCGCAGAACTTCCCGTCGCCTTGCTTTTGCAGAAGGACACAGCTGCGCAGCCGCACACCTAGCGCTGAAGTGGGTTCCCGGGGCGCTCGTACCCAGTTGCGCATGTGCAAGCCTACAGCGCGCATGCGTGTCACGGGCAACTTGCCCACGATGGTACCCGGGACTAAATCCCAGCGCGGGCGCAGCAGAGAGAGAAAGATGCTGGAGAGAGCGCTAGGACCGAGCGGAGTTTCTTCCTTTTGGATAGTCCTCTAACCTACTCTTCCCCGCTAAGCGCTAAGCGAAGTCTTTTATTTTGAGAAATTTGAGAAATGGGAGAAGAGCTTCATTTCCATGACAACTGCGTGGGTGGGGGTGGGGGCGTTAGGAAACCACCTTCCCCACGCCCAGTTCCTCTGCGCAGGATCACTCGGGAACTACCTCCTACGGATTGAGGCGGGGCACCATGGAGATATTCCCCGCCCATGCAGAGGCAGTAACCATAGCAACCTAGCAACCTCCCAATCGTGCCTCGGAGGCCCCCTGTCCACAATTTTACGTCATGGCTCGGTGAGAGAGTTCAAAGGCAGGAGTTTCTTGAAGGGTGGGGATGGCGATCCTGGCCACGGCCCGTTTTAATCAAAAGCGCAGAGCAGGAGTGAATCGAGAGCACCGCTTGAATGAACTGGATGGCCGGATGGCTGGATGACTGAGTTCAGCCTTGTGAAAATTTTCGGTGCCGGCAGTTTCAAGGTCATTGGGTAAACGACGCTTCATTCATCTATCCGACAGTTTTATATGAGGTCCCACATAGATCAAGGTGCTATCATATAAAAGGCAAATCGTGTTTACTACCAAAAAAAAAAATGTTTCTGAGGGCATCTCACTATCCAAGGCTGGCACTGAACTTGGAGCAATAGTATCACTGCAGCCTCCAGCGAGGCTAGCACAAAGACGACAAGGTATGTGCCGACATCACACTTAAGGAAAAGGTGACATTTGTATTAAGACCCGAAGCAGAAAAGACGGGCTGGAAAGATGGCTCAGTAGTAGTTAAGATCTCTCCCGAGAACACCAGAGTTAGAATCTCATAACCATCCTTAGCTCCAGCACTGGTGCCCTCTGCTGGCACCAGGCATGGACGTGGCGGGCAAACATACAAGCAGGCAAAACACTCATACATAAAGGGAGAAAAATTCTGGAGTGTGTGTGTGTTTGTTTTTTTTCTTTTTGAGATACGAGGTTTCTTTATGTAACCTTGATTCTCCTGGAACTAGCGCTGTGGACAAGGCTGACCCCGGACTCATGGAGATCGGCTTGCCTCGAGAGTGCTGGGACTGACTTAAAAGCCTGCCACATCACCACCGGCCTAAGATTGGGTTTTAATTGTGTGTATACGCATGTGGGTGCTGGTGACTTGGATGCTATAAAAGGCCAAGAGAACCTTGCAGCTAGGTCCACCTGCTTCTGACTCCGGAGTGCTGGGATTAAAGGCAGGGGTGCTGCTACTCCCCAACACTGGCTTATACTTTTTTCCTAATAGTTTTGTGATAGGGACCCCAAAGTTTAAAATCTATCAAAACTCTGACCTAGGAGTTCCTACACTCATAAGGTGGTGGGGGAACCCCTGGGCCTTCAGAGCTATAGAGCCTTAGGTTCAGTCTCCAGTGAACAGGAAAGCAGAGAAAGGGAAAGGAAAGAAGGAAGGACTGACTCAAGGGACTGTTGAGATGGCCCAGTGGGTGAAAGGGACTTGCCACTAAGCTTGAGACCTGAGTTCAGTCCCCAGGACCTGCATGACAGAAACTGGACTCCCTTGAATTGACTGACTACTGTCTGGATGTTGTACCCCCTCCCCCTAGCCCCCTCCCTCTTTTCAAGACAGGGTCTCTCTGTGTAGCCCTGACTGCCCTGGAACGCTATAGATTAGACTGGCCTCAATAAGAGAGATCCATCTGTCTGTCTCTGCCTCCCGAATGTTAGGATTAAAGGTGTACACCCACAACTGGCCTTTCCACACTTTTTTTTATTTTTAATTAAAAAAGTGTCTAGATGGAGGCTGAGAATTATCTGGGAACCTGTTTTCAGTCAGACAACATGTGTTGGAAGACATACGAGGTAGGTCTGGACTGCAGTTCTGGACCCCTTCCTGCCCCTCTTAGGGTTCTCAGGATTTTAGGCAGCCCTTCAATCTCCTCTTTTGCTTCTCTCTCCCAGCACTCAAAGGCACCGCCCACTAAGTTAGACGACCAGATTCAAAGGCAGTAGACTAAGAAGGACGCTTTATTCAGCAGCAGGCACCCCCCTCCTCCACCCTCATCCCATTTCTAAGCCTCCTAAATAGCATAAAATCCAACTGGCATTCTTCTCTGACCCTACAATTAAAATCTAAGCAGTAACCATTCCCGTGAGGTCTGACTCTTCTCACCACACTGGCTTAACACACTCAACAATATTGGACGGGTGGAAAAGAGATACATGTCTCTCACCCACCAGGGGCAGGGATCCAGCCATGACTGGAGCTGGGGGCAGGAATAGAGTGAACTGGGGTTAGTAATGAATGAGATCTGTGGGCTTCAGCTCACCCGAGGCAGTCTGTGAAGTTACAAAGGTCTGACAGCCTTCCCAGAGGGTCCCAACCCTCCTCTAGTTCCCATAACCCTCCTCTTAGTCCTGATGGGCGGGTGGCACGTTCAAAGAATTGAGGGCTGAACTTGAATGGTCCATGAAGAAACTTGAGTCTGCAGATGCTGAAGAAGCTGAAGATGGATGGTCTCATAGTACCAGTATCAACTTCTTGGCAGTGATGATCAGGATCAGTCTCTGGCACTGGCCCCAGATTTGTAAGATTAGCCTGTCAGAGCACACTGGATTCAATAGGATGGCAAATCCAGGGATCGCCCAAGGGATCTTTATAGGGGAACCGAGACGTCAAAGAGACCACCTTAGTGTCATCCGCAGGCCCTCACAATCCAAAAGAAGCCACCAAGACTCACACAGTCCATGGAGAATGGTTCTCACAGTACCAGGAATGTCTGAGACACGTAGTCTGGGCTGCCAGCATTCCCCAGTGTTTCAGGATCCTGAAGGCACAGAGAACATTTAGATCCAGGGACCTCCAGAGGGCTGGGTGAGCATTGCAGAGGGTACTAGGGTCAGAAGCAGGAGGGTTTGGGATGTGGGTGAGCGGTACCTCACGGGGTCTCACTTATCGCTTGACTTTGCGACCGGCTGAGTTTCGTCCACTGCGACGGTAGAGAGACTGCTGGCTGTTGTTGAGTGGACAATACTTGAGTGTATGAGCATGGTCACCGGTGGCCCCGCATAGAGGACACACGTAATGTCTCAGGATGGGGCACACAACCACCCCTTCAGGCGTCTTCAGCTGGTGTGAGGCGTAGACGTGACGAGACTCCCCATTGTGCTTGCAGAAGTTGCATATGGTAGCCAGACTTCCGGGGTAGACCTCCGGGCCCTGCTCGCTCGTCCCCTGGGGCCTGGAGTTGGGTTCCTCAGGTACCTCATTCTCCAGTCTCTGCTTCCGTCTCTGGATGATATCCAGCACCACCCGGCTTAGGTTAAAGTAGTCTCTCCACATGTCAAAGGGCGGTAGGTCCATGACACATATGTGTGGCTGTGGTCACTGGAGACAGACTGGGGGACAGGGGCTGTGAGGTCAGAGGGCAGGAGCAGGAGTTTTGTGGAGCAGAGAGGAGGCACACCCCCTTATAAATACTCTCCTAGAGACCATTCTAAGCAAAGGTGGAGCTTAGATTTAAAGGGCCCACTTCCAGCCAAAGATTCTTGGCTGGCTCCAATCTCCCAGGGAGATTGGAAGCAGGTTATTCCCCAGGTTGCCCCTCCTCCAAGGCACTGTGTGTTTTCTGGGAGGGAGCTTCTAGTCCATGGGCCTCAGTTTCCCTCCTATTCAGTTAAGGGCTTCGCCTGTGTCTCTTGCTCACCCTCAGACCTTCCCTCCCTTCCTCTTTCCCTCTCCTCTCTCTTCCTTCTCCCTCCTTTCCTTTAATTATCCAGAACTTACCATTTGACTTAATTGGTGTTTTTGTTATTGTTTTCGTTTTTTTTTTTTCTAAGACAGGATGTCAGTATGTATCGCTGGCTGTCCTAGGCTGGCCTCAGAAACTCACAGAATCCACCTGCCTCTAACTCTGCCTCCCAGGTGTTGGGATTAAAGGTGTGCGCCACCATGTCCATCTTAATTTTTTTTATTCTGTTTAACAATGGAGTGGGGAGACGGCACAGCTTGCATGAGGACAACTTGGAGGAGGCGGCTCCTTCCCCCAAGTGGATCCAGGGATCACATTCAGGTCACCAGGCTAGGCACTTTGCCCGCTGAGCCATCTCACTGCCCTGATGTGGGTTTTGTTGTTGTTTGGTGTAGCTTTTTTTTTGTTTGTTTTTGAAACAGCGTTACATCTTGCTACTCAGCCAATGACCCTGACTCCCTGTCCTTCTGTTAAGGGCCCGGGAGTGGGAGCCACCTTTACCTGAAGCTTCTGGCTCTGTTGCCTGTTTCAGCCTTGAGAAAGCTGAGAAGACAGACTCACAGGGTTGGCCCGGAGGGCGGGAAGCTCAGTGGTAGAGCCCTTACCTGGTGAGCCCCCAGGTGGTTTGCATGAGCCTGGTACCATAAGCCTGTCATCCCCACACTTGGGAGGTGGAAACATGAGGATCAGAAGTTCAAGGCCAGCCTCAGCTTCGTGTAACCAGTTTGAGGCTAGCCTCACCGATCTAAGGTTCTGTCCCAGTAGGGGCCAGCTGTTAGAGTGCTTTATGCCCTTGCATGTGATACAAGTTTGGTTGTCAGCACTGAGGTCAGATGGCACACAACCACCTCAAGCTCCGGCTGCAGGGGACTCTGACACCTCTGACTCCTAAGGCTGCCCGCACTTGTGTGCATATAGACACACATAAATAAAAACAATAAAGAGGGCTGGAGAAATGGCTGAGCTGTTAGCAACATTTGCTGCTCTTACAAAGGACCTAGGCTTGGCATCCAGCACACACACTGGGCAACTCCACACTGTGTGGCTCCCACCCCAGGGGATACGATGCCCTCTTTTGGCCTCCCTGGGCAACTGTATGTATGTGGTGCACAAAAATCAAGAAGGCGCGTACGTGTGTGTGTGTGTGTGTGTGTGTGCGCACACACATACATTTTTAGAAAATTAGAAATGAAGTAAACAAATACACCACACTAGTGTGAGTACTCCTTTGACATTGTTTTTTTGAGATGTGGCCTGGGCTGGCCTCGAACTCCTGCCTCACTTCTGACTGATGGAGTGATAGGCATGACCGGCTGTGTGTGCATGGGTTGTATGTGTGTGTTGTACGTGTGTGCCTGTGTTGGATGTGTGTATGTGTGTGAGTGAGTGCAAATACTACAGCAGAGGCTAGCTTTCGGAAATCAGTTCTATCCTTCCACCACGTGTTTCCTGAGGATTGACCTCAGGTTTCGGACTTTAAGGCAAGCACCTTCACCCTCCTTGCTGTCCTGCCAGCCGAGCAGTAATAATCTCAATAGTCCTTAGTACAAGGCAGACTCTGCAACACAGTTTCCTACATGCTCTGATTTCATCCTCAAAAGTCCATGAAGAGAACACAACTATGATCCCATGCAGCTGAGGTTCAGAGAGGGCAATTCATTGGCCCCTAGTCACACAGCATGGAAGTCAAAGAGCTGGGATCCTAGGAAGTGCTAACAGGTGCGCAAGGTGTCTGGTGATTTACAAGCATGATTCTTTGAAGGCCATTACCAGGCAAGGAGGTGAGGACTCTTATCACTTTCATGTCACAGAGGGTGTGAGGCTCAGAGACAAGAAGCATACACAAGGTCTCAAATTGGGTGGTCACAAATCATTATGTGTTGTGTGTTTACGTGTGTGTGAATTTTTTTTGTTCCCGACCCCCTGTATCCCCAGATAAGGACCAAAACCAGGGCCTTGAGCTTCCTAGCTAGGCAAACACTCTACCACTGAGCTAAAACTAACCCTCAGTGTGTTCATTTTTGAGCTAAGGTCTCATGGCGCCCAGGCTGGCCTTGAACTTTCTGTGTAGCAGAGGATGACCCAAAGCTTCTGATCTGTGCTACCACACTGGACTTTTGTGCTGCTCGGTATACAACTCAGGTCTCCATGCATGGTAGGTTACTATTCTAACAACTGAGCTAAGCACCCAGCTCCCCTCATACGTCATTTTAGGGTGACCTCAACACCAGCCCAGAGCAGGTGCTGCCACTTTGTAAAGCCAGATGTGCTCACCAAGAGTCAGCTATGGTACCTCACATGGTAGCATATGCCTGTCCACTCAGAACTGGGGTGGGAGAGACAGTACTATCATAGGCAGTTCCAGACCAGTCTGGGCTCCATGAAACCCTGTCTCAAGAAAACACAGCCCAGCCGTGGTGGCGCACCCAGGAGGCAGAGGCCAGTGGATCTCTGCGTGTTTGAGGCCAGCCTGGTCTACGGAGCAAGTTCCAGGACAGTCAGAGCCACACAGAGAAACCCTGTCTTGAAAAAACCAAAAGAGACCAAACAAAACAATTATAGTTCCATCATGCCAATGAGCAGAGAAAGGCTCCAGAGAGCCTGAGGAACAGGCTGGTCAAAGCTCTCTGGATGGTAGAGGTGGGCTGGGACCCAGACCCACAGCGATCTCTCTCAGGTCCTGGCATTCTCCAGGCCCATGCACCTGCATATGGAATGCAGGCAAGAGAGAGGAGCAAGGAGGTTCTGTGATCCCAATAGAGACAGGAGGATTGCTGCAAGTTCAACTCCAGCCTGGACAACAGAGTGAGGCTTATCTCAGAAGCCAAGGGAGAGCCAGGGAAGCCTGGTGAGGTTTGCCTAGTGTAGGTGCTGTACAGGAAGGAGACAGGATAATCTGGGAGCCAATGGTTTCCACAGAATGATACCACCACCGATATTCCAACCAGGGACAGCCCTCCAGGTAGGGGAGACATACTGCTGTACAGAAGAGCAAAGCTCCTGACGAGGGGCCCAGAACAGGCATCAGGTCTCTGTGCTAACTGCTTTGTATAATACCACAGCAGAGGTGAGTCCGGTGGCTTATGTCTGTGATTTGAGTGTATGGAAGGTTGAGGCAGGCGGGTCATGAGTTCTAATCCACCTTAGACTACATAGGCAGACATGTCTATGAGAGAAAGGCAGGTGGGTCTCTGTAACTTCGACACCAGGCTAGGAGAGGGTCTCAAAAAGAATAGGATGCTGATTTTTAGCGTTTATATTGTTGGGGAGCTGGTGAGCCCCTGTGCATGACGGTGCTTAAGCCTGACAGTGATCACTTTAGTTGGGAGTCTGAGAGCCCTGTAAGGAAAGGCCTGCTTGGATGACTATGCTATTGCTGGACTCTGATTCTGCCATTTGTCTCTCCAGCGGCTCCCCCCACCCCCACCACCTTATTTTTTGTTGTTTCATGGTTTACATAGTTACTTACCTATAGCTGCTCTTCCTCCTAGATCTCTGATAGTGGTTTGGTTTTTGGATGTTTGCAATGAATTCTTTAGATAAGCCCACTCTGTGGGTGGTGTGTGTGTGGGGGGAGAACCAAACCGGAGGTGAAATTGATGAGACATGGCCCAACCTGGTGTTTACTGTGCAGAGTTGTGCTACCCACGCCCTGGCCCTGCAGGGGTCCATGGCCCTGTTTACTTCTGAGTTTCCTCTTCGCCTGACCCACCCTGGCTAGAAAACAGATCAAGGGGTTTCAGACAGGTGGATGGGGTGAGGATTTCAAACCTTCAGAAAGGCCAGCATCAAGGAAAGTTAGGAGAATTAACCCCCAACTTTCCAAACGGAGTAACTGAGGCCCCTGTTCCACAGAATCATCAAACTCAACTAAAGTTTATTAATTTCTTGTAATTAATCTTTTTTTTCCCAGAGGCTGGGTCTCACTTTATAGCCCAGGCTGGCTTTAATTGGTAATCCCCCTGCCTCGGTCTCTCAAACTCCTAGACTACAGCTGTATACCACTATATCCAGCTATATGGTTCTTTCACTGGGTGAAATGAGAGAACCAACTCCTGAAATTTGTCCCCTGACCTCTACAGCACAGTGGCGTGTGCCCCACGCTCAAATAAATAAATAGATAAGATTTTAAAATTTCAAAAAAGTGTGATTAAGCCAGATTTGATGGCACACATCAATAATTCCAGTACAAAGAGTGAGGGCTGGGGGGTAAGAGAGTCAGGGGTTTGGGGTCATTCTCTGCTACTTAAATGAGTTTAAGGACACTCTGGGTTACAGGTGATCCAGTCTCAAATGAGGAAAAAAAAGTTGAGGGCTGTAGTTTCACTGGGGAGGGACTGCCCAGGATGAGGGGGACCAGCAAGATGGCTGTGATGGTTTGAGTAAGAACAGCCTCCATTGCCTGGAGTAGTGGCTCATGCACGCTTTTAATCCCAGCACTTGGGAGGCAGAGACAGGCAGATCTCTGAGTTTGAGGCCAGCCTGGTCTACAAAGTGAGTTCTAGGACAGCCCAGGTTCCACAGAGAGACATTGTGTCCAAAAAAAAAAAAAAAAAAAGTCCCTGAAGGTATATATATATATTTGAGTGTTTAGTCATCATGGAATGAGGGAATGACAGGTCTTAGTCACTACTGATTGCTGTGAAGAGACACCATGACCAAGCCAACGCTTATGAAAGAAAGCATT